ATCCAAAGCGTGGTCTCACTTCGATCACTATCTCACCTCACTTCGCACTTCGTTGAGTTGTGCGGCCGTTGTCAGAAAAGCAGGTACCGTACTTTTGACTTGCGAGGGAACTCTTCCCTCGCAAGCCAAAATTGGCAAGTCAATTGGCAAAAAGATTCTTTTTGCCAATTGCCCTTTTGAGGCATTCAAGTGCTCCTTTGACCAGGACGATCGGCCTGGTGCCGTTTGATGTCCCTTTTTGCGCCTGAAGGGAAATTATGGTAAAAGCAAATATGAATTATACACAATTTTGGGTCCCGCGGTGGGCGTTGCGTCGGCCGTCCGGTCGCTATGTTCGAGGCTGTACGGGGCGGCCGCTGTGTGTCGGAGACTGTACGGCCGAGCCGCGCGGCCGGCCGCCGCCGCTGCCGCCGCTGTGCCGTGCCGGCCTGTGCTGTGGCTCGATACTGGCGCCGTTCTGGCGCCGGCGTCTGTGCTGTTCGCTCTGTGCCGACGGATTTTCGTGCCCTGCGAGGGTAGAACAGACTTGTGCTCCACGCTTTGCTCAGGAACAACCCGGCTGACGCTCCAGAAGTCCACAGTTTCGTCCGATTCGACCGGTGTATGGTGGTACGTACCGTTCTCCCCATATTGATGTTGAAGGTTGAAGGTAGAGGGCTGCCTGCGGGTACCATATGTTCTTGTTCTGAAACCCACCTTTGTATGTTTTGCTCCGTGTATATTCAGCCTATTTCCTACCTTCTGAATTATGATACACAATTAATCGTACCAGATCACCCGGTTCATTGTCAGTGCTCGACATCGTCTGACAGATGTGGGTACGTGTCCTTTCCGTTCCGCGCCCCCGCCCTGCAACTGTTCGGGTTTGTTTACTCACTGTGTCACCGCCCACCGGCGATGCCATCAGATGCTAAACACGTGTTCTCGGCTCGAGGGAAGGAAATTCCCCGAGCCCTGATTATCAGACCGATGACGTCATCGGCAATCCTTTCCCCGGTGTCTTTTCATCTGTGGAGGGGCGGCGTGCATCAACATTCGCACGTGACTTGGCATTTCACAAATACGCTGCCTGATCAGCTGACGTTGAATGGGTCCATCAAGAAAAGCGGTCGTTTTTGCATGACTTCCAAACTGGGGAAGGCATACGGGGGTTCGTCGCGTCGGCCGGCGACGGCTCGCTTGGCGGAGCATTATTCACGCGTTGGCTGGGTTTTAAAGATAGCGAGTGAGATTTCACGGTCAGCTGATGACCTAGGGCAATTATTTCTTGGATGAATCGACACATGAGACGGTGCTGATCACAACCATACCAAAAATGTATCCCATTTGATAAATTTTAATCCACGTTTAAAATATTTTTTAGTCCGTGTGTAACTGAGAAGATTGATTATATCCTTCCCCGTGTGACGACAATGAGAGCAGCAATAAAGGTAGTAAACACTGCCGGCGTGGCCACGTGGTTTTGTGGGCGTGAACGGGACCGTAGCGCCGGCTGACTGACCGGGATTCGACAGCTCGTATTGGGGAGACGATGTCCGCGATTTGACGACACCGGGAGCAGGTGTGACCATTGAGCTGGGATGTGGTGTGTGTGGGTGATTGACTGATCATTCGCCCCCTACACGGCCCACGCCGGGAGGGCCGTGCGCCGTAGCCGGTCGGGCCGTAGCCGCGCCGCCGACCGGGGCGGCGCACATACGCCGTCAGCCACGTCGAGGGAAAATGGCCGCCCGGCCGGCGGCGCCGCGCGCCGGTCGGCCGCCGCTCGCCGGCGCCCCCTGGCCGGCGGCCGGACGGAATTTTGGACCACCCGGCCCAAAAAGAGGTGTTCTCGACACGTAGGTGTGTTCAGAACATACACAGTGGGTGCTATGACAGCTCTCCTAGACGCTACTTTGTTCAGTATTGAAGCATACGGCGCCCGACGCCATGTCGCCCGCACCGAGTCCGCCTGCTCGTTGGTTGGCCGCGGCGTGCCGGCCGCGATATAGGGGCACACTATTCTGATTTCTGCTGCGGTACTCGGTACGGTGGTGTACCGCCTCAGAACATCTGCATGGTGTACACGTCATTCAGTATCGTTACGGCTTGCGGGCTTACATCTGCGGTGCCAGGGTGCTGTGTGTTTCTACGATACGAGAGATGCAGATTGCCGCGGTGGGGCATTTCGGTACGCTGTTTCCGACTTAGGCTCAGGTATTGCACCTTTGCGTCACACCATACCCCCTCGGTTCTCAATAAGGTGTACCGTCTTGATACAAAAATGTGGTGTGCTGCATCAGCGTCCGTTTTGCTTTGGCACGTTGTTACTCATCAGGGATTTCTCGAAGTGACTGCCGTATGATCGTGACTGCCGTAGTGACTGCATCATGCCGTTGTAATGGTAGTTACGCTTGCCGAGAGTTTTTATCCTAATGCGGAATCATAATGTGGTACATAATTTTCTTATATGGCTCATATAAATGTATGGTGCCCTACCACGTTATAATTGGTCAGTACTCTGTGAGTGTAAGAGTACGCCTTATCGCTGGTACCCAGTACCGCCAGCGTCTGCTGACGCCCTGTCCGTGAGCTGTCCGTGTTTGATGCCTTTCGAGAAGTCAGCAGTACGGTGGCGGCAGCCGTACCGGCGCCAACTAATCTCGGTAAGTTGGGACATTTCGCTCCAATGGCCACCCGGCCGGCTGAAATTGGACCATGTCATGTGTGCCACTATTGTGGACCTACCCTACCACGGAACGGCTAAATTTAGCCGGCGTGTTGGTGCAACTGCAGTCATCTCTGAGCTGAGGACGATCGCCTGACCTTTCCGGTCGGCAGATAGTGATAAAGGGATTCGGTGGGAGAGAGCATGACATTGGAAGGTGGCGCTGTTGAACTTCTTTGTATCGTCTGCTGCGCTGTTTCGGAACACAGAGTTTTTACTTCGCGTAACACATCATTCTGCGGCTGCAGCAAATTCGATGATTTATGCAGTTATTGTGGCTGTCTTCAGACGTGTCTAGTTCATGTTGATGGAAATGCAACGCAAGACTATTACCCGGTGGGGCTATTGATGAAAAGGGGACTTGTAGCACTCATCGCGCAGCCATTGAACACAAAACCAGTAATCTTCAGCTGCATGAAAATTGTTATAGGAAATGGATGCGGTCGTCCCGTCCGCCACGCTGATGGCGATTTTGTCCTTCCATCTGGCATATTTTCCTACCAAAACGTTTGTTATAGTAAAAGGCGTACTAAGTACCACAAAGTGTTGGTAAATAGCACAATATTTTTCATTCGCTTGCATGCTGCTCAGAGGCTGCACACTGCACCAGCTATTTAGAAACGAGGCTGCTTGTAGTCGCCTATAATGCAGCTATAATTCTCCCGTGATTACGGGATGTGATGTGATGACACCTTCCTTGATGCATAGGTGCTGCCTAAGCGGTAGCGTAGTAGCCACTGCGACTGTTCGACGAAGCTCATTGATCATTGTTCAGACCGATACATTATCCCCTTCACCCCTGTGGTTTCCGCACCTGTTTGCAGTTCGGACGGGGATGGGAGGGAGCTGGGGTTTCGATGGCCCTCACCTTCAGGGTTTGCTTGTTTTTCCCAATCAGCTGATCCATTCTGGTCCCGCTATCCAGGCCTGGGGAGGGGAGGGGTGGGGAGGGGTGGGTGTTGGCATTGGCGCCGCTCCGCCGTGTGTGTTTGTGTGTGTTTGTGCTGCCGTGGACCGCAGACGATGCAGCCTATCGGTTATGTCATCGCTGCCCAGCTGTTCCCGGGCTGATAGGGCGGGTCACGTGCTGTGCCGACATTCCGTGATGGTGTTACGGCCAGTTCAGGCACTAACGGGCCCATTTGTGTGAATAATGCGGACATGGTCGGCGCGCGGTGCGGGCCATACGGGAGCGGGGACCGGAGAGGGGAGGTGATTACCGGATTACAGCCACCGTTAGCGCTGCCCTGCCGTCTGCTCTCGATCCGACCTCTGTTGATGTGCGCCGTCACGCCGCAGTGAGGCTGCACGAAGGTCGGCACGCGGGTCGTGTCACCGGTGACCCAGTGGCGGTCAGACCGTGCCGCTGGGAGAGGCTCGGCTCTGATGGGGATGACATTATTACCCTCTCTCCCTCCCGCCGGGAGACGGATGGGACGGGGTGGGTGGTAGTGGCATCCCAATCTGCAGCTGACAGCTCTGAACAGACTAGGCTGTGTGCCGTGCCGTGTTGGGCACGGAGCAGCGGGAAGGGCCGCGCTGCCTTGACGGCCTTTCCGGCTCGCTCAGCCAAGGTCGGGAGACGTGCGGCGCCGCCACACTTCCTGTCGAACTGACCTAGGACAAGACGCGGCTCGACTGCCCAGTGACCGGACACGGGGAAAGTCCAGTCACCACCCGATCACCTCTCGACCCTCTCATAGTCCGGTCCGGTCCGGTGGCCGGCCCGCAGACACGCATACAGACGTGTGTGATGGATGCTGCGCCGGGTGGGCAGCTCAGGGTCAACGGGGCTCGGCCGTTACTGGTCCGGTTGTGTCCAGTGGCGAGCGATGATGGCCGGCCTCTGAGAGCACCGTCGGACGTGGTGAGGTCGGCCCGGCGCTCCGGCTACCGTGGTCTGTTCTGGGACCGTGTCTCGTGTCTCCGTTACAGAATCCCGCAGCCGTCTCCCTATCCTTCTTTGTCTTCTTACCTCAGTATCCGGTTTGCGTGTTTCGGTCTGACCAGGCGTCTCTGTTGTGTCTCATCTGGTTCGCTGTTGTATTTTCCGGGACGGCATCTCTTGTCTCCATTGAAGTATCCCGCTGCCTTCTCCGTTCCATGGCCTCCCTACCGGCGTGCGTCTCTTTGACCCAGGCGTCTGCTCTGTTTCATCTGGCTCACAGCTGTCTGTTCTCGAGTGGCGTCCCCAGATTTCACCGTAGTACCCCACTGCCGTATCCGCCCTGTTGTCTCGCTACCACAGTACCCTGTGTGCCAGTGTCTGACCTAGTCACCTCTTGTGTTTCAGGAGGTGGGCGTTGGCGACTCTGCGGGCAGCGACTGCGCGCCCGGCGCCGGGAGCCAGGGGCCGCGGCCGCCGCCGTCCCCCACCAGCTCGGCAGGCTCGCGCTCCATGTCACCGGCTGTAGGTGAGTCCAGAGTCGCCTGAGTCGTCCCAGGTGGAAGGTTGTGATTGAGTCCGGTCACAGAATCGGAGAGGGTCTGTATGAATATCGAATCGCGGCACTGAGTTGTCTGAGCCATGAGAGGGGAGGGTCTGAATAAGTCCTGAGTTGGTCAGGATGTGCCCGATTGAGTCCAGAGTCGGGAGGTATGGGCGAGTCTGGAGTGGGGAGTAGAAGGTGTGGGTGAGTCGGGGAAGGGTCTGATTGAGTTCCGAGTTAGCTTCCTGAAGTACAGTCCACAGCATAAGTAATGTGCGGTTTCAGTCGTGGGTATGTTCTGCTTCTGAAGCTTAGGAATGATTAGCCAGACCACCATGAAACTTAGCTAACCTGTATCGTTGTCCTTGCAGCTGCAACTTTGTCTATTGACGTCTTCTTTTCGATCACTCCGTATTGAAAAATCGGCAGTCAAAGCCATCCGTTGAGATTGGTAAAACCGCCCATTACTTTAGCGGTGGGCTGTACCTGAATGATTTCAGGGCTGGTCGAGACCCATGAGCTCATTTGCTGATTTTACATATAGTCATCCTCTATTCCAATAACAATATTTCGGAACATGGGCTCGTTTTAAGTGAAACCCCGAGTTTAGAGCTCAGACGGCCGGTAGGGTGGCGTAGACCGCTGCTTGGTCACGAACGAATTCATGCTGCTCGAATCGCTGGCCTTTCTCATCACGTCCGAGCTTTTTCCGTCGAGCTGGATAGCGTCCGTCACACCGGTCATCGACACTGTATCACCGTGGCAACTGTCCGGATACCAGAGAGGGATTTCATACGGTGCATTGGGATCGTGAGTCCTACGATGTAGAAGTTAGTTGGGATGGATCATTACGTAGAGGTGAAATAGTCTATCCTCCGCGCTCGTTTTGTCAAGCGATTTGTCCTCCATTCCTGACAGTGAATCTTAAGTGGTATGGCTCATTGTGGGGTTCTGTGGCTTTTCGTTCAGCGAACTGCTGGAATATTTATTCAGACACTGTATCATCTTCGTGTTCGACGCCATTCAAGCTTAGTGGATTTTCTGTGCTGGTTCTCAGCCATTTCGGGCTCGTTATGGCATTCCCATTTTGGATGTCGTAACGGCATTCCTTCACGAGGTGCTTAACATATGCTGGATTCTTTTCCCTTATTGCCCGTTATCGCATTTTCATCGTTCTGGCCAACAGTGTATGGGACCGTAAATAGTCTGCACACGTTTTATATTCAACGAGCACGAGTCTGCAGCTGTAGGATATCTGCTATATGCCGCCTCTATTGATGGCATCTATATGACGGAGTAGGAGCCGCGACCCATTTCCGTGTGGCTCCATTCACTGTGGATCGATTGCGTCATGTTTACCATAAGTGTATGTTTTGCCGTCTGATCGCCGTGTTTTCCGTGGTACCATGACCTGTTACAATGTTTCGTGCATGCCATTGTCCGGTAATGGCCCCCACGTGAGTGATCCGATACTGCACCTGACGCGCCATGAGAGGAGTTGGGGTGGTTACTGGTTACCTTATACGTGCCACAGGTGCAACTCATTGAATTACAGATGCAGTGCAGATGACATCGTTGATTGTGGATTGGACACTCCGCCAGACGGGTGACTGTGTTCGTGGCGTCAGTCTGTGGGTTTTTCGTGACGTTTCTCCCGCCGGCACGTGATTTTATTCGTGACGGTTCTCGCGGTGGCACGTGACGTGTGGGCGTGCGCTGTTGCGGCGTGGCCGGGCGTCGTGTCCGTGTTGGTGGGAATTGGCCGGGGCAGAGTCGGGCGGACGCCGGCGGCCTCCCCTCGCTCGCAGCGGCGCACGGCTGGCGCCGCTTCCGGTGGCCGGGCCTGGCGGGCGGGCGGCGGACGGCAGACAGGTGCGCCGCCACGCTACAAGGGTAGACAGAGAGGTTCAAACGAGCTCGTGACGGAGGAGCATCTGCATAGGTGATGGCTTCGTCGTGAAGTGGAATTGGGTTTGAACGTGGTGCCTGAACTCGGAGCATGAACGTCCGAGCCGAACTGACTATAGAGTTGTCCGGCCGAGTGCCCATCCGCCCGCGCCGTCCGCCCGTCAGTCGGCTCGGCGACCCCCGGCGACGTCCGGTGCCTGTCAATGAGAGCGACGTGCCGTCTGTTGCCGGAGCGACCTTGGCCGTGGCCGGCCGTGGCCGCACCGAGCTGGTGTGTAATAGATCGGGCTGGCCCCGTGCCAAGTGGCGTGACAGGACCGCTGCCGGACGAAACCGATCGCCTCCGCGGCCGCGCCTGACACCGTCTGTCTGTCTCCGAGACACCGTCAGCTGATCGAACAACGCCGGCTGGTCGTCGGTGAAATGGGCGAGAAAGGCCGTTCAGTGGTGCCAGTGTCCCCGTCCTGTGTCTTCAGTCTCCACATCCGTCCCCGCCCCTCCCCCCTCGTCGTAGTGGGGAGGGTTGTGTGGGCGTCTGACAGCGGAGGCGAGCCGTTTGTTGTGTAGTGAAGGGCGAGCATGATGCTGTGCTGAATGCTCGCAGCACGGGAAGCGTTTCCGAGAATGCTGCCAAGTATTTTCCGGAAGCGGCTACACTTTACTGGCTCAATTATGAGCTGATGACGCAATGCGGTGCCAGTGGACTGTGCGGCTCCAGTGGCCTCGCGGCCAGTGGGGTCGTTTGGCGACCCTCACTGCCTTCTTCCACGCGAGGAGCGCTCACGAGGTAGAGTGACTCATAGACTCATGGTGCCTGGTAGTGGTCCGATCACATGTCGGGCACCCACAGTCCTTTGTCCCTGGCTATTGTCCTCAATCCTCTGTTCGTGTCCACTATCCATCTTTCCTATCCACCGTCCTTTGTCCACTGTCTCTTTGTCCACACTCGTCCGTCCACCGTTTCCATGTTTCAGTCCACCTCTGTCCACTTTATCCACCGTCCTATATCTGCCCCATTTTGCTCCGACTGGGCGCTAATATTGCAGCAGTGCTCGCAGCGTTGAGTGTTTTGATTGGCGTGTCGACTGGCGAGTGGGGCGGCGTCGGTCGCTCGGTGTTTACTACGGATGAGTAGTATTTGGACCTTGTGTGCTGTACCGGCGCTGGTCCCGGATCAATGGGCCTCCCCACCCGCCCCATCCCCTCCCCGGCCGGCGTCTGTGGGGAGTGGGGGAGAGGGAGGGAGGGGTGTTGTGTGAGGTTTGCTCTGCACAGCTGATCGGAACGGGGTGCCGGCTGAGACGAAGCACGCGGCTCGTGAAACGATGGGAGGGTGACACGTGCAGACGATAGCGCGCGCTGGTGACTCACAGAGGGGTGAGGGATGGGGAGCGGAGGGAGAGAGGTTGGCCCAGGTCACGGAGTCTGTGTTGATGTGGCGTGGCGAGGTGCAGTCACCGGGGTTGTCCCAGGTCAGGGTGACAGACAGCCTGCTGATGACATGTGCATGACTGGCGGTGAACGACGGATGTGTCGACCACATGTGTCGCGGCCGGGTCAAGGGGACCGTCGGACCGGGCTGCTGCTGCTGATGGTGATGTGCTGATGTTTGCGTTCGGTGCCACTCGATTGTGACCTGACCTGAACCTACTGTGTGTCTGTGTTTCAGGTCAGCAGAACATTCCGATGCCGCCGCGGCCGCCCAGCTCTCAGGAGTCGGCCGGCGGTCAGCGGCTGGCGCACTCGCCGCACGCCTACCCGCCCCAGGCGGGACCCCCGCCGGGCGCCGCCGCTGCTGCCGCCGCCGCGCCGCCCGGCCTCGGCCACAAGCCCGGCTACCCGGTGCCGCACCCTCAGTACGGCCAGCCGGGCGGCTACCCGGCCCAGTACAACAGCCACGTCATGTACGGCCAGTACGGGCGGCCGGGCGCGCCTGGCCAGCCGCCGCCCGGTCCGCCCGGCCCGCCCGGACACTACCCCTACCAGGGGCAGTACCCGCAGCAGGTGGGTGTCACGCACCGCCGGCAACGCGACCTTTGCATTGTTAACGAAGGCTGCCGCCAGCCGTGGCCGGTCCCGGCACTGTTTTTACCCGCTCAGGTGTTTGTCTCGGGAGTTCTTTGAGAGGTGGTAGTGAATGGTTTGTTTTGAGCCAGCTGAACGTGACCCAGTGCGTGGCCAGTCAGCACGTGCCTACCAGCTATCGCAGTTTGGTGACGTGTGTGCTGGCTGCTTGCTACGTGACCTGTTTCGCTACCTAACCGTGTGTGCCTGCTGTGCTCGTTCCTGCTCTCCATGTTCTGACCAGCTGACCCGTGTCGACAGCACTGGGCGACCGGTGGCCACCCGCGACCCGGTCCCGGCGGCAAACCGCTGCACATGCCGGGCGGCGGCGGACCGCCGGGCTCCGCGCCGCCGGCGCCGCACTACCTGCGCCACCACCTGCAGCAGAAGATGGCGTACGGCGCGAACGGGCCGAGCAGCGGGCCCAACGGACCGAGCGCCGGGCCGCCGCCCGCCGCGGCCGCCGCCAGCCAGGCCTCGTCAATGCCGCCTCCTTCGAGCGGTCCTCCGCCTCTTGCGCCGCCGCCCCGGCCGGCCTCTCAGTGCAGCGACGGCTCGCAGCACTCCCAGCCGGCCTCCGGCGGTCCGCCCGAGCTCTCCGGACCCTACAACAACCACGGCCCGCTGCCGCCCATCGGACCCGACGGCGTGCCCATCGACGACGCGTCGCAGCACAGCACGCTCTCAAACACCTCGGCCAGTGAGTAGCGCTGTCCGCGACGCGACGGGGTCTGTGGTGTCGCCTCACGTCTTGCTCCTGGGGGAGAGCATGTGTGGGAACGACGTGTCTGTAGTAGCCAGCACTGTTACCAGGTCACTGACAGAGTGCCTGACTCCGGACACTGCTAGTACTGGGGAACCCAGGGGGAGGGGTGACACAGGATTGCCTGTCGGTTGTCGGACGGCCGCCTCGATTGGATTTCTGTCCCAATAGACGTCCGCCAGGCTTAGGCACGGGCTGCCGCTGCTGTCTCCCGAGCTAGCGAATTACTCGTCCATGGCGATTACATTTGTACCTGTCAGCGAAATTACTGGCAGATATAGGTATTCTGTTTTGTCCCCCGGCTGAGTCGTGTTGCAGATGGGCATGCACAACACCCCTCGCCATCTTATGATACAACCTAGTTCTTTTGTCGCCTTCATGCTAAGCCGTCTGTAGTTGAATATCGTCTGGCGAGATTCTTCTGTGTGCCACTGCCGGCAGACCCAAACTACCATCACTGATATGACCTGTTGTTGACGTCTACTGACTCCCTCCACCCCTCAGATTCTGAGGACCGCGCCCGCTCCCCGAAGCCGCGTGTCAAGGAGAACGCCGGCAGCAGCCACCCGCCGACGCCCATCTCGGGCATGGCCTCACCGGGCGCCGCCAGCATGACGTCGGCGCACGATGAGGCGGAGAACAACGTGGCGAGTCCCGGCGGGCCGGCCTGGCCGCGCTCGCCCGTCTCGGTGAGCTGGGGCGACGGGGGCACTCAACGGAGGGGAGGTGGAGGGGGCTGTAGGTCAGGTAGTATGAGATCCGGGAGGGTCTCTTACTGAAATGTATGATCATGACGTCGGTGTCGTGGAGGGACAGTGTATTTTTGTACGTGGGAACTTTGTAGACGATTCCTAAACCTGGTGAACAACAGACATTTACTGGTGGTGCTGGTCTATTTACTTTGGATTAGATGGTACTTATTAATGACGGGATTCTTACTTGGGATGCGTAGCGGAGCATGTGGCTAGAGGACTGGTTGGAGGGTTTTCAAGGAATATTTCCATCCTTTTCGGTCTGAACGTCTTTGAGTGACTGATTTGGAAGAATTGTGACGATTTCGGTAGATTGAATCTAATGGTTTGGTTTTATACAATTGGGTGACATGGGGTACAGATGGAAATGCGGATCACCCCATTCTTTTTCAACACAGGCTCATTCGTACACCGAACTAACTGGGTGACATTTTCTTCTGCAGGTCTATAACCCAATGCCTTCAAGAGATGCTTACCCAGTATCCAAGGTCCATAGTATTCTATTATTCTTAGCCTGTCGCTATCTCACTCTCTATCGCTCCATGTATTCACTTATCAATCGGTGGTGGTTGGCTGCACAATTCTGGATATTTTCGCCTTCTTGTCTGTATGTTGCTTCGGTGATGGTTTGGCTGGGACTGGGTAGACGGTGGGCGTCTTTCAGTTCTGCGCAGAAAGCGGGTGTATTTTCTCACTTTGTGCTTTTGGTGTCCTGAATTGTAATGGGTATGTGGTAGCGATTTATATTTTATTTGCGATGTGCGATTGTATCTCAATTTCATTATTCATCGAGCTTTAGTTTGCTAACCTGAGTTCACAATAATTGCGACCTAATTAGTCTGAATCTGTTTTTGCGACTGTTTAGTTTTCACTTCTCACCGATATTCGCTACTTGCTTTCTTTGTTTCATCTTCTTCCAACCAATACGATTTGAGACCTTTATTGATCGCGGAATATATTCACCTATAACTTATAATTTTAAATCCATGAATTTGCAATAAAGGTCAATTGGCTGCATGAGAGCACGCACGATAAATCGTTCGATACATGAAATTGTGCCAATTATATGGGACTCACATTCAGCATGCATTTAGCTGTTGCGCCAGTCTGCACATTACGGTGATTTTTGTTACATATTCTAGAAAATCCCTTGGTTTACTCCGTGTTGCCTGGAGGTGCTGGCATTTATGAGAACATTCCCGGATTTGCACAGGGAACAGCACGGTACCTTGTATAAACCGTTCGGCGATCGAGTATTTTGTTGTGCTTCAGTGATCACTGATTTTGTTCATTCTGTGTAAATCACTGCTGAACCTGCTTCTTCTGGTGCTGTGTATCGTCTTGTGTGGGTGCTCATTGTTTGTAATCGTAACGGTAACTTGGCCCCATGTGGTGATTGCACTTCTCGTTGTCTTGCTATTTAGGGAAGGCCTTCTGTTTATCTCTTTCGAGCACGTTCAAGTCTTAAAAAGTCATCTCTGTTACGTCATTACAATGCATGATCATCTATTCTTTTCCTTGTCAATAAAACTGGAAGTTTTGTTTGCTTTCAGGTGTCGCACTGAATATTTCTGTTCAGCGCTCAATATATTTCCGTGTGGTTTGTCAATCGTAGGCATCATGTCGCTCCCACCTGTACCGACCCGCGCTGACCCCCTACTGACCGTGTGCGCCGGGGCGTTTTGCTCTTAACACAGAACTCCCGCTCCGTGCGCCAGCAGAAGGCAGAGAGCCTGAACCGACTGTTTGAGATTGACGACGCGCCCGGCCGCCGAGAGTGGGTCAGCCGCCTGCTGGCGTTCATGGAGGAGCGCGGATCGCCCATCCTGCAGTGCCCGACCGTCTCCAAACAGCCGCTCGACCTGTTCAAGCTCTATCAGTTCACCAAGGAGCGCGGCGGTTTCGTCGAGGTAAGTGGACGTTTACCGATGATGCTGTGATGTGGGGACGCCTACCGGTGACGTGTCTGACGTGGGTGGATGGAGGCTGATGTGTCGTGATGTCTGTATGATCGCGACGGGAACCGATAACAATTAGCCACTCGTGCTTTGATGTACCGAGCGTGACCAGTTGGAGGGCGGTCCAATTAGTCGGTTCTCTGCCGGTATTTCAGTAATGTCTTCGACGGTAGCGTCAATAGACATTCATTTCGGACATCGTCCGACACAGCGGCCTCGCAAATTGCATTCCTTCCCTCTATTTTGATAGAAGCACCGCTGTCGTCCAGTCCGCATGTGCAGCTGTTTCGTGAACGATTCACTATCTGGCTTGTTCGGTTGGGATCCTGCAGTCACTGTAGTGACACCATTCGTACAGCGTGGCGGTGTCGCCCACTCTCTTTCTCATTATGCGGTTCTCTGTCTCGCATCCGTCCCTCGTTTCTCCACAAGTCCGCCTTCCCCTGGAAGTCGTGCTGCTACAGCTTTGCCCAGTGCCGACTGACTCACCCCGCCGCGCCATCCTCAGGTGACCAAGAACAAGACTTGGAAGGAGATCGCCGTGCTGATGGGCATCGGAGGCAGCTCCAGCGGGGCTTACACGCTGCGGAAACACTACATGAAGAACCTCATCTTCTTCGAGTGCCACTTCGACCGCGGCGGGCTCGACCCGGCGCCCATCCTCGCCAAATACGAGACCAAGAGCAACAAGAAGAAGGGCGCCGCCTCGCCCGGTGAGTGGAGGGTCTAAGCTTACGAGTATGTTTTCTGTGCTACCTGTGACTGGTCTAAGCTTATGCTTTTTGGGTGAAAAGTATTTCGAGTAAGGGGTTGATTTCGTGTACAATTTTGTTTTTCATTGTAGATCTCCAGTTAGTTGACCGAGCTGCTTTGACATGATATTCGTCTGCATGTCCGGAAGATTGAAGCAATCGTTCGTCACCTGCAAATCTCACAGTGCCATTGCTTGTAATGACCGATTATTCTCTCATGCCGTCCCCTGACCGTCCATCTCTTCCTCCGCCAGGTCCCCAGGACTCATTTTCTAACTCTGGCTCGATGGACGGCTTCCCGTCTGGCTACCCTGGCTACCCGGGCGGCGGCGACTACAGTAACGGTCCTTCCGGCCAGCCGCCACCTCAAGGTGAGCAATAGAGGCGTGCGCTGGGTCTGGCGCTGGTACTGTCTCGTGTGTTTGACAGACGGGCTTAGAGAACTGTGGGTCTGACGGCCAAGGGCGTTGAGACAAGGAAAGCTCGTTGGTTTTACTCAGCTTGCTGATTATTTCAGATTGGATTCTGTTCATTTTTGGTTTATCTCTTTTGGGTTTGGTTGCCGGTATTGTGCCGTCTCCTGAGGGTGGGATTCCACACCGCACTGGTCTGCGGCCCGCCGGGAGCGCCGCCGTGGCTGACGCGCGCCCCTGCTCTGGCCGCTAGGTGCCTCCGACCGGGTCAGTGTGTCGAACCCGTTCGAGGATGGTCACTACGATAGTGCGTACGGCTCTGCCTACCCGGCTGGTTACAACAGTAAGCAGGCCCGCGCGGCTGAGCTAGTCCCTCGACCTGACCCTCAACCTGACCTCGGCGTAGCTGCTCTGGCATGGTCGCCTGTGTTCTGGCCCGTAATTGTGATTGTGTTTCGGTGTTTATAGCATTTTCAGCTCGTAACTTGTGTGCGTATTTGGAGTGAGATTGTTGTAACTTGTAAACGTGGATGTTTATCAGTCAGCTCAGCCAGTAACAGTGGATGTTTTAGCCAGAAACTAAATAATCCTGTTATTCTGTCTACGTGGGCATTTAGTGCGTCTTCTCTTCAATGCAATCAAGCGCAGGCTGCATGTGGCACTTCATTCATCTGCTTTGACTGCCCTGCAGCTGAAGTTCGCTCTTGATTGTCATTGTATGTATTTGCTAGATCGTGCGTCTTGGTGCAGTTGATTAGACGCCGCATCTGGGGTTGAAAACCTTGTCAAAGTTCTGTTGTGTGTACGATGCCTGAGTCCTTGCAACTTAAAGATGTTATTTGTTATGTCTGGTGTGCAGTTGACGGACTTTCTTTGTTGATCTTTGAATGCTGAAATGTTTCTATGATGTTTCCATTTACCTTTTCGAGCATGCTTGCATTTTGAGGATTGCGCTATTCCAGAAGCATTTGGAGGGAATTTAGCTATCTTTTCCATCTTTGTTTTTTTTTTCGTTTGTGGCAGCTGGCTCGACCATTTTCCTCCGTTTTTATTTTTCCAGAAGTTTTTACTTCGATTTGACGCTGCTAGCTTGTTCTTGATTGCCATCCACAATATTTGACATTCCATCTCGGCTTTGCGTTTTGTTACATCAGTGCGCTCCTACTGTACTCTCTTCTGAAGCCGAGGCGCCTTCTGACCGCTCCGGCCTCCCACCCTCCGTCTCGTCCATACCTAACGTGACCGCTCCGTGTTTCAGGCTACCCGGGCCACGGCTACCCGCCACAGCCGGGTTACGGTCACTACCCGCCGACCAGCGGCGCGCCCGGTCAGGAGTACCCGCCACCGCCGGGACCGCCGGGGGCCGGGCCGCCGCCCGGGCCGCCCCAGCAGCAGCCGCCCGGGCCGCCCCAGCAGCCGCCCTACATGCAGTACCCCAACAGGTGGGTGGGCGGCGGCATCCGTCAACTGACCGACAGCGTGCCTGAATTAGGCCTTTGATGCAAATGAACCTGGTTCGGCGGAAGGTTTATTTGGTGGTAATTAGGTTGTTAAACAGGGGAATGGGTGAGGTGATGGCGGTTTATGATGAATTAAACACGATGCAAGTGGGTTGTTATAAATTGGATTGAGGTTAATGGCTGTGTCAGTGACGTTTAACTCGTGGTGTCTGCATACCGGCTCGGTAGTAAGAACAGCTGATAGGTCGTTCACCTCTGCCAGGACTGGAGGGATGCTGTGACTGGTGACTGACCGAGTGTGTTCTATGCGACCACAGGAGCTACCCGCAGCCGCCGACCTCTGTGGGCCAGCAGCCGGGCGGCGAGCACCACCGGTACCAGACCGGCCCGCCGCTGGGCCCGGCCACCTACGGGCCGCGCCACATGTACCCGGGCCACCAGCCGGCGCCGCCGCCCGCCTCTGTGGGCAGCCCGGCGGCCACCCCTCCGCCCGTGTACAGCAGCGCCGGGCCCACCGGACCGCCGCCGCCGCCGCCGCCGCCGGTCGGCTCGGCCCCGCCGGCCAGCGCGCCGCCCGGCTCCGGCCCCGGTCCGACGCCGGCGACCGGTCCCGGCGGGGAGCCGTACCCGGCCAGCACGGCTTCCCAGTACCCGGTACGTACCGCTCCGGACCGCCCTGGACCGTCCAACCCCGTACCTAACTGAGTAGCTGTAGGGAGACCAGCCGACCCGGTACTCTGCCCTGACCTAGCTAAGGAGTTGCCGGGGGACCGACGGAGCCTGCACGTCAGAGTGTTCCCCTACCGTGTGTGTCTGTATGACTGGCCGGCCGGCCGACAGCGACCGGCGGCCGGCGTTAGACTAGCGCATGGTTCAGTTTGTCAGTGTGCCGTCCGTCTGGCGTTGACTCGACCTGTAGCTTGCCTCGCTCGGCTCTTACCCTAGTGCTGACTGCTGACTGGGGCTGGTCGGTGTGCTGACCCCACCCCACCCCCCCCCCCCCCCCGCTGATACTGAGCTACCGCTGAGCTGAGCGCTGAGCGGCCCATATGTGCGTTTGCCGCGCTCAACCGCAGCCGTTCTATAGCCGTGTGTTTGCTCGTTTGTAGATGGCGTCCGGCGTTAACTTCAGCTCGCATCTAGCCAAGCAGCTTTCCGCTCCCCTCAACCCCCGCAGCAGCCCCATGACGCAAGTACGTACCGCCGCTTCACTCAGTCGCTTACTCATATTTGTTTCCGCTGTCGCTCTCCTCTCTATCGCTGATGCTTACTGCTTGTAGATCGGTCGCTTACGAACACGGTTAACCCGGCTTGTTTGTGTTTCAGTTATGACCTTAACAAGTCTCGATGTGTTCAGCTTTGGCTGGTTGTTCTCTATCTCTTTCTGTCTCAATGTGTATCTGTTTGTCGTGGTGCGGCCTGTGGCTCAGCTGGGGGCGGGTTTTTATTTATTCCGCGCCGTGCGCGCGCATGTGTTTTAGATGTCGCCGTCCAAGTCTGGCTATGCGCCGGCGCCGACGCTGGCCAAGCAGCTGGCGGCGCCACCCCTGGTACCGCCCCAGGGGCCCGGCGGGCCGACCCCCATGGGCCACCCACCGCTCAGACACCCCATTGTGAGTAGAGAGCGCCGATCCTGGTAGGAGGGGAGGGGTGTATAATGACTACTTGGTGGTGGTTACTAATTACTATGTTATTTGTGTATAGCTGATCAGCGAGCACCGCGTAACATTCGGTGGCGGGCTTCTCGCCTCTCCTTTCCTGCTCATTGTAATATGGCTGAATATGGCTGATGTGTTTGCATTTATCACTCCAATCAATTGGTGTAGCATATATCGACACCTTTTTTTTAAACCCCACATTTGTTCTCCGGTGAATTTCAGACAAGTTGGTTAGAGATCTTCGAAAAAGGTACAATCACTCGATTTTTCTCAAGTTTGTCTATCTTGGCAGATAAAGCAATACCAGAACAGGCCTACGAACACACATATTTGATCAGGATCGGACGATTGGACACTTTTAAAAGGAGATCTTTCGTGCCTCCCGGAAATTCACGGGAGAGCAGATGTGGGGTTTAAAAAAAAGGTGTCGATATTTGCGTGGGAATGCTCGGTGGAGGTGTAAGTTACCTTTTATGGTTTGCTGTGATGGCATTTTGACAAATTACATATGGTGATGCACTGTGTACATTTGATCACCAGTATGTCATCTTGTATATCGTTTATGAGACATCATTGTTCTTACCAGTCTCCTGAGCCTGATGTCGCTGTCGCCCAGGCTGTTCTCATCAATCAGCTGTATGTGCCCAGCGACCAGCTGACATTCCTCATACCCGTCCGATACAAATTTGCATTCATATTCCAACACATCTGACCTTTCCTAGTGAACATTTACCAGTCCTACCTGAAGTTTAGACCATTCTCTCGCGTTTCATGTAATTTTCCAGAATGCCAGTTTGTCCGATTATGCTGATAACCATTATATTTATCCCCGCCACTTCCTTATACTCCCGTGTCATCCCTCTCTGCAGCTCGACCCGATAATATGTTCCATCGATAAAAGCACCCGCTCGTCACCCGTCCCGCCCCACACTGCCCTCTCCCAGCTCGACCCGTCTGACCTGAGTGCGTCACCCCACAGCCGTACGGCTCTGGTCAGCACGGCGCCGCGCCCGGTATGCCCGCGTACCGTCCCGGTGCGCCGCCGAGTATGGCCAGCGCGCCCGGCCAGCCGGGTCAGCGGAGACCGGACGGTGCGCCGCCGCCTCCGCCCGGCGCCGGTCCGGCCGCCGCGCCGCCCTACAACCAGCACCAGCAGTACGGTACGTCACGCTGAGAGCGATGCTGAAGAGGGAGGGAAAGAGGCCATGCTTATGACGCTATAACGATGTTTTCTTGTCAGATGGTATTTTGCGTGTTAATGGATTATGTTCTCATGATTTCTTATGCTCTTTCAGCGAAACATTGTTTTATCATAGCCGAAGTTTTTGTTCTAAAGTTTCATTTGTCCAGTGCTAATGAATGCCTTATGGGATGCCGCCTAGACCTCCACGTCCACAGCTGTCCAGTCCTGACACGCTGAGTGTGGCTTTGACCCCGACTGTTCCCTGTCTGACCTGACGTCTCTGTCGACAGGTGGCTGGCGGGGCGGCTCCTACGGCCAGTACGGCCCGCCGCCGGCGCCGGGCGTGGCCGGTCAGTGGGGCCAGCGGTACCCACCGCCGGGCAGCCAGCCGCCTGGTCCGCCCGGCACCGGCTACCCGCCGGCCCCGGCGCCCGCCCAGTGGAACGGCAACTCACCGGCGGCCGCCGCCATGGCCCAGCCGCGGATGCCCATGAGACCGCCGTACGGAAAGGATTCGAAGCCGTATCCTCCCGGCAAGGTAGGTGTGAGCGTCCCCAGAAGCTCGAATACGAGGGCTAAATTACTGTCAGTATGACTGGAGAGCTGCGCGCCGGGGCGTGGTGCATGATGTGCCAATCTGTTGCCAGGGACAACCGGAGCTCGACCAGGCCGGGATCTGCGGCGTACCGCAGATGATGGGCAATAAACATGTGCTCGCATTGCATAAGAGCGTTCCAACGCCCCGGTGTTGGGATTTATCGTGTGACGTATCGTATATTGCACTTGCCGCTGATAATATCCCGTCATAAAGAAATGTTAACGGCCCATTTGACACATAAGGGGTAATATTACAGGATACGACCGCCCTGGGCTCGCGGGAGTATTATCGTTTGATGTTATGTCCGTGACAGGCGATACTTTAACTGGTAATATGAGTTTGATGCTGGTAAAATGCTTGTAAGCAGGCTATTGAGGGCGTTATTTTGGGTAACTGCGTGCAGAGACCGTTATGTCTTAACAGCCCGGTCCGCCGTATCCCAAAATTGGACACTTTTCGAGCCGGCAAATATGCCTCTGGGTATATTGTTCAATTGCCCAAATGTTTTAGGAGGATATTCACGGGGTATAATTCTGCTGGGATAATAGCCGGAGAGCATGCCGAGTTTCATTACGGTGTTTTATGACGATTGCTCGTTGCCAAAACTTGGCTGGCTCAATGTCTCTATTAGCTTATGGGTACCAACACAAAATTGATGCGTCATAAATCAAAACGAATTTGTAAATGACAGAGATAATGCAAAATAAATCGGGTACAGTAAGCTGCACCCACTCTGACTAATCGGTTTGTCCTGGATGCAGAATGGTCCCTGTATAGCGCTTGGAATTACCTTTTTGACTACCTATGATCCAGCGGAGCCCTAAACTGAGTCAGCGCGAGGCGTGGCGCGAGGTCTATTTACGTGATTTTTTTTTCGAGTTTCACATGCAACGCTTGTGCATATTTGATTCTCAAGCAGCCGGGTCAAGTCGGGTGTTGACCTCAATAATCGATATATTATATCTATATTCATCTTATGAAACCATCTGCATCAATATTCGGTACCCGAGTGCATTAACATTATGTGGGCAAAGTGTCCGTGCCATAGATACAAATGATAAATAAGCACAAATAATTGCAGCAGACGCAGTTAAAGCTGATCAACGTAATCGCGTCTGGTTGATATGTGTCTATTGTCTCTGCATTAAGCAATTCATTATAGTTTATAAACAAACTTTTACGTATCTTCATCCGGTCGTGAAATAGTGGTAACGCAGCTTTCCATACTACATTCCCGTCCATTATCCAACGAAGCCCACTGCTGTCGTCTGCCTGCTCGCGCCGCAGCACCTCTGACGCCCGTTTGTCTCTCCCACAGCCGGGGATGGCTCTGGGCAGCCTGTCGAAGCACAACTTCCCGCCGGACAGCGTGGAGGCCACGCTGCCCGTGATGGCCAAGCGGCGCCGCGGCACACGCGCCGACGTGTGTCCCGTGGACGGCTGGCGGCTGACGATGGCACTGCGCTCCGGCCAGCTGGCCGAGAGCCGCTGGGCGCTGGACGTGCTGCAGATCCTGTCGTTTGACGACGCTTCCGTGTCGTGGCTGGGCCTGGCGCACATGCCCGGCCTGCTGGCGGCGCTGCTGGAGCACTACCGGCAGACGCTGGCGGCCATGTTCGCGCGGCGCGCCACGCCCGTCTCGGTGGGCTGGTACGAGGGCGGTGCCTCCGGCGCGCCGCTGCCGCCCGAGGAGGAGCCCGACCTGGGCGTGTGCGGCGCCGCCGACCCGGACGACAGTACCGCCGTGCTCAGCGGGCCCGACTTCACCCGCACCACCCGGCGCGGCCTGCCCGTGACCTTCGACCCGTGTGACGACACCATCCTGGTCTCTGACCGCAGGAGATCCTGGGAGGTGGACGTCCTCAGTGCCGACTGCGCCTGGGGTCACATCGAGACGCATATCAGGGTGGAAACGGGCCGGCTGCCGCTGATCCGTCGACTGCGCGACGGCAAGATCGCGGAGGATCCGGCGGAAAAGGCGGAGTCGAATGAAGCCAACTCGGAGTCAAAGGAGTCAGAACCGGAGTCGACGCCAAACCGGCCAGTTGTCAAAACTGAGCCAGTCGAAAAGGCGGAACCTGACAGCGACTCCAAGTCGGAAGCCGACGCCAAGGACTCGAAGGCAGCGCTTGTGAACGGCGAGGTGATACCGGGCTTCTCCGCGTTAGACTTTTTCCTGTCGCGTCTGCGCAAGGAGGCGAAATCAACAGCGGCACGCAAAGCCGCGGCGGCGAACTGTGATGAAGCGTCGAGCGCGGCGTGTGAGAACGGGGATGGTGGCGACGCGGTCACAGTGAAAGCCGAACCGATGGACACGACGCCCGACGTCAAACCGCCGCTGGTCAACGGCGACGCGTCCCCTAGTGAGCGCGGCGAGCAGCCGGAGACGGCAGAGTCCAAACCTTCCGCTGCGGAGTCGGAAGAGACGTCAGCGCCGCCGCCACAGCTCGAGATTCGAGACCCGGACGGCACGCTGAAGCGAAAGCGGCCTGACGATGAGGAAGCCGAGTGCTACCAGCGCGACGAGTCGTCACTCTACCTGACGTCCACCACGCAGGAGAACATCGCGCAGCGGTGTATAGCCATCAGCACCATCTTGCGCAACCTGTCGTTCGTGCCGGGCAACGAGGCCGAGCTGGCGACGGAGCCGCTGCTGCTGCTGCTGGGTGACCTGCTGCAGCTGCATCACCGACACCCAGCGCGCGCGGCCAAACACAAAAACTACGACCGCGACGAGGATGCCGACTTCCCGGAGGCGTGCACGGCGCTCAACAGCGACGAGTGGTGGTCCGAGTACCTGCCACTGCTGCATGAGAACGCGCTGGTGACGCTGTGCAACGTGTCCGGGCAACTGCACCTGGGCGGCCACGAGGAGGCGGTGGTGCGGCCGCTGCTGGACGGCCTCCTCCACTGGCTCCAGTGTCCCAGCTCGTACGCGGCCGACCCGTTCGCCTCGTGCGCCGGCTCGCCGTCCCTGCTCACCTCGCCGCAGCGGCTGGCGCTGGAGGCGCTCTGTCGGCTCTGCGTGCACCCGGAGAACGTCGACCTGATGCTGGCGACGCCGCCGCTGTCGCGGCTGGAGCGCATCTGCGAGCTGATGGCGCAGTGGGTCGGCCGCGCAGAGGACCAGGTGAAGCGCGAGATGACGCTCAACCTGCTCTATTACTTTACGGCCGCCGACGAGCGCGTGGCGCGCCTGGTGGCCATGCAGAGCAACTTCGTACCGACGCTGGTGCGCTTCGTGGAGACGGCCGAGCACAACGCCATGAACGTGGCCAGCACACAGGGTGTGAACGCGCTGCGCGATAACCCCGATCTGATGGGCACCAGTCTGGACATGCTGGGCCGCGCGGCCAACATCCTGCTGAGCCTGGCGCGCGTGCCCGCCAACCGGCAGGTGCTGGTGGCGCGCGAGCCCCAGCTGCTGGCGCTGGTCATGTCGCAGATTCTCGACCAGCGCGTCGCCTCTGTGCTCTCTCAAGTACTGTTCAAAATCTCTCGGCCGTCGCCGTCCGAGGCGGCCGCGTAGCGCGCGGGGACCCAGCGGCAGCCGCGGCCGCCCGCCGACGGCACATGTGATGTATGAGTGGCCGCGACCTGTCCCTGACTGTGTGCATGCGTGTGCGTGTCTGTTTGTTTTGTAAATAAGCGACTCGATAGTGCTATTTTAACTGTACAGAGACGGCAATCTGTAAGCGGTTTGACCTTCCGGTCACGTGGTCATGGCTATCGTAATTCATTTATACAGTTCGTTATAACCATCATTTACATGTCCAGAGAACGCTTCGTGGATGTGAGCTGTCGGTTTCATGAATAAATGTATATCAGTTTATTACGAGCGCATTTCGGCCTTGCAGATTTCTGGTTTCCTTGGATGGGGAAAGTGCAGCTTTCTGTCATCGAAACAGGGTTGCTGTATTTTATGACTTTGTGGATGGGATATCAGTCATTTGCTTTCTTGGCCATGAATAAATCGCAAAGAGATGTCGATGTTGTTGGTAAATCATGCGGTATGTGCTAGCAGAACAAATATGTGGTCACTGGTCGATATGAGCTACACCTCTTCAATGTGGATGACATCGTCCCCAGGTCAGCCGATGATTGTGTCATACGGTTTGATGCTTTACTGGTGCAAAACAGTGGAAATTTGAACACTGAACAGCCTACATTTCGAGTGACTGAGTAACGGAACCCAAACATCAGGCCGGGAACTCATGGGGAATCGAGAACGTGTGTGCGAACGGTTCCGCGGATCCCTTAGCTCGCCACCTGAGGTGGTGACCCCCGGACGCGCCAGCCAGCTGCAGCTCCTCGGAGCCCGGAGCCCGGAGGAGCATCAGGCGTCTCGACCTCCCACATGGTCGTAATGCTTTTCTAAAGGGCTTCCCTATGAGAGATGGATGAATGTTACCCGCACTTAGAGATTGATCCATATGCTGAGCCTCGAGTAGAGGGTATGGGCGACAGTAACCGCATCTACCGCAGTGCAGAAACGGTGACCGATTGAAGGGTAGGTTTTAGGTTTACCTGCCAGATGGCGTTGAGGTTCACATTTAGTAGTGAAGCTGCGTTGAAGCGAATCTGGCGGGTTGCCGACCTGCCTGTCAGAAGTGCTGAGTAGCGGACGTGATGCTTTCGAGCATTTCGGGGTGATTTTGTTCATTCATGTTTTACATCCATATCGGCCTAGAAGCCCAGCTCGTTCGTTTAGTTGCTCTAGCAGACGGCAGGGTCTCGTATATAGGGCCTTGGGTCTCGTCGGCGCGGGGCAGCTGACTGTGCGCGGCCGGCTGCGCGGTGGGGCGCTCGGGGCTCGGGAGCCGACTCCGCGACTGACCGCGAGGGGGCCGCTCAGTTCGAGAGCGGGCGGTGCACGTGGGGGTCGTGTAGGCGGAGCTCGCGTTGGCACCGGTACGAAACGATGGCGACTTTTGTGGCTCGGGTGTTTCAAAACTGGCGTGTATCTGCTTCACAAGCAGCTTTCAACCAGGCGAGAAATGCATCAGTGCTTTGTAAGAGATTGGAGTTCAAGGAATATGGAGATCCCATGGAAGTTATATCAAAAGTCGAGGAAGAAATCAGCGATGACCTCCAGCCCAATGAGGTATGTGTGTTACATTAGTTTTTCCTGAACTTACTCAAACAATACTTGCCTTGGCCTTACATGAGATGATCAAAGCTAAATTGAAATTGAAATGAATTGATTGTTGATTGTTTAATCTTCATTTGTTGTGTCAATGTGTTGATAAAATACCTATATCATTATTGTCAATTGATTTGCATTGATATTAAATTGCTGGCAACTATGTGTGCTTACAATAATTCATATTTTGCCTATATTATTTTTTATTTAATTTAGCTTGCTTTAGGTTCGGAACACCATGGTAAAATATGAATTTCGCAATATTTAATGTAACTTCATTATCTGATTTTAATTCATTATATTCTCATCACATGCATGGTGCACAATATTGTTTTTGTTGAATGGCAGTGTAAAACACTGGTGTGGTGCATAGGTTCTTCATTTTGATGAGCACATCTCAATCTAATCTATAAGGATGAGGTGCAAGCAAATATCTTGGCACTCCAGAAAATCTGTATAGGTTCCTACATAGGGCTTGTCCTAGGGTTGAAAAAAAATCTACAAAAGCCAATGACAGTTTCCTAAAAATGGATCCAACCCTAAATCTGGCATGGATTTCTGTCCCCTGAGGCCTGGGAGCACTCCCTGGCCTTTCAGCTCATCACCAGCCCCTTGTAAGCCCACTCTAGTAATAAGCCCCTTGGACTTCTCACCTTCTAGGTCCCACCATTGGCTTACTGGTGGTTTCTGGAGGTACCCACTAGACTCAGACCAGTGTCCTGAGGACTAATGTCAAACTTTGAGGATCTCATGTATGCTGCATCTTGCACCTGATGACCCACATTTTTATGGCATTGACCCACATGATCTGGGGACCCTTATGCAAGACCATGGACCCATGTAGGTCACTTAGCCCCCCTTAGACAAAATGCAGATCTGGAGGACCCCCTGTCTTCCTGTCCTCTATTGACCTTTTGAGAACCCTCACCCAGCTGTCCTAGAGGGCCTTATATTGGCCTCAAGCTTCTTGGGGCTCATGCTGACATCCAGTGGCCCATGCTGGTCCCTGGGGACTGCATGGTAAGATGCCCCACATTGACCCTCACACAGGTTTCTGAGAGTCTCCTCATACCACCTAATGATGCCTCAACTGTTTTCTGAAGCTTTTACCCTGATCTGATTTATATGGGTCCCAAGATGGGCTATTAGGGATCTATGCGGGTCCGTGGAGTTTAAAACACTTATAAGGGCCCCATGCCAGTCTCATTAGGCTCATATATCGACATTTGAAGTCCTAAGCTGAAGCTGAGTGCCTTAGGTACGTCAGTTATCACCCGTCGGTCTCCTGGGCGCTCCACGCAAGCTCCTGATGCCCCACGGTGATTTCTGAGGTTCTGCCCATCCCCAGACTTAGGCCCTGGGCTTCCTACATCGATCTGACGGTTCCCTCGCAGTTCCATGGGGCGCACGCTGATCCATAACTGCTCCCATCCCACCCCGATAGCTTGAAGCGATGCTTTTTGTCAGCCCATTATGCTGCAAGCAATAGATCTTGCAATTATTGATCACCATTGCCATTTGACTTGCCCATAGATAAGATTCCTGATGCAATTCCTCTTCAATCCTGGCTTTCCTGCTTAACATTTTTTTACCTCATCCAAATGATGCAACGCGCACCGCTACACAAGCTGCTTCTCGCACTTTTTACGCTGGAGGAAATGCGAATGATGTAACCGACTAGTGCCGTCGGCTGTACGTCTTTGTTTCGACTACAGTTGATGGCAGCGTGCCGCTGGGCTGTCCCATCCAGCCTTTCCTGAGAGACCTGGACCAAGGTCGAATCCCACTCGGATGGATACTCGAATCCCCAGAGTACTGCTTCACACCCTTCCAGATTCCCGTGCATTTCTTGTTATCTCTCCCCCCCCCCCTCCCGTCTCTTTCCCCGGCCGCATGACCGATGCCGCTGCCCTGCCTTCACCCTCCACCGCTAGAATGTGCCTTTGGTATGTTTTGCCGCAACGCTGTCTGGCCAGCTACTCCGATGGGCAGTTATAATCTGTCTAGACAGAGCGAACGGTCTTCTTTTGACCGTTCCTCTGCCCTCGTCCATATGTCTGACAGCCCATCTAACACTCGTCCCCGTCGCCGCGCCCGGCAGGTGCTGGTCAAGATGTTGGCCGCTCCGCTGAACCCTGCCGACATCAACACCGTGCAGGGCAAGTACGCCGTGAAGCCCGACTCCTTCCCGGCCGTGCTGGGTAACGAGGGTGTTGGTGAGGTGCTGGCCTGCGGCAGCAAGGTGAAACACACGGGCGTCGGTGACTGGGTGATCCCGTTCCTCAACCAGTTCGGCACGTGCCGCAGCCACGCCATTGCTCCCGAGGACGATGTTGTTAAGGTGAGTTCTGCCAGGGGTGTGTAGGGGTATGGGGAGGGCGAAAGAAGAGCGAGTGTGGAGCTTGGGATTTGGTGAGAATGCAATTGAATGCATCCCTATTACCAGAGCTGGGCGCGTTCCTCGATTTTCGGTAGTGCGTTAGCGTTCCTGCGTGCCTCCGGCCGCGGTTAGTGCGTTCCTGGAATAGCGTTCCTCAATTTTTTTTCGCTCGGTGCGTTAGCGTTCCTGCGTTCCTGCGTCCCAAACTGTTAACCCGTATTGTATTCTGGCTCTACCAAGCAGCAAATCATACCAAAATCAGTGCAACGCAACACTGTAGCGGACAAAGTAGGCAAATCGCGCCAGTCCAACACTACAGGCGTGCTCTTCACAACCGAAGTCGTGGACAAAGAAATACCGCCGAACCACGCGGCGCGGGCCCAACCAAACACGGGGCGAATCGATCACAGAATACCCAGAATGGCGACGCGGGGCCGAAAAGCAACTCGACATCTCTTTTCCGAGTCGAATATCTGAAATACGTTTTACCAATATCATCCGTAGGGTTTTCAACAAAAATACGACCTGCTTAAAAACAATAATTAAGCTGAAAGATGTATCTAAGTAAAAGTTATCATATTTACTTTACACATTTGATGCCTGAAACCGAATCGAATAGTGAACATCACCACTAAATCTAAACAAGCCTTCCTCGATTTGACCGACAAGTGGCGCCTCTACCGGCAAACACACGTACTCGAGATTCAAACATTTGACACAGAGGTCATTGGCAGCAATATGATTTTTCGGGTGGTTCCGCAAGAACGCAGGAACGCTTCAAAATTTCGGGTGGTGCGTTTCTCTTACTTGCGTTCCTTTGAAAAACTTTGCGTTCCTGCGTTCTTGCGTTCCTAAAAAGGGCGGTGCGTACGTACGGAAGAACGCAGGAACGCACTAAAGGAACGCACTTGCCCAGCTCTGCCTATTACCTAGGTAGTTGATGAGTGACAAGCGTGATTATGGATTAGATGACGTGAAACATTGAACATAAGACCCAAGACCTTATCGGAGATGATATTTGTTTACAGCGCAAAGGCTCCACGTTCGATGCGTGTCAGCTTTTCGCACTAAGTAAAGCAGGGCGACTGGTGCGGTGACTGTGAGCCATGCCGCGTATTTTGAATAGCTGTCCGACCCATCCTCAGTTTCCTCAGCGAACGGTGATGTTACATCAGCCCGCGTGTAGCGATCTGCGATAAACTACGATAGGTTATCCAGGGTTTGATTCAACTCTACCGTTGGCCGCTGTCTGCTTTATGTCAGTCCACGTCGTCTGAGGCTGTCTGTCCCCATCTGTTGCTGTCGTTCTGTCTGCACAGTTTTGTGCAAATCCGACAACGCTGCATAAATGAATAGGCGATCGTCCCTCCCGTATTCGAATTCATTCGGTCGTTTCACTGTTTCTTGACCGAGACAAGACCTAGCCAGAACAATGCTACTAAATCTATCCAGTCACCCAGTGGCGGATCCGGGGGGGGGGGGGGCAAAATGGGCATTTGCCCCCCCAAACGGCATAATTTTAACATTATGCCTATGGACGATGCATGGAAAGAATCGATAAATTGTTATGGTTTGCCCCAGGGATGCGGAGCCGTGGAAATTTCAGACGGCTCCGGCTCCGGCTCCGGCTCCGGAGAAAAAAATCGGCTCCGGCTCCGGCTCCGGCTCCGGGTGAAATGTTATGGCGGCTCCGGCTCCGGCTCCGGCTCCGAGTAAAATGGTCCGGCTCCGGCGGCTCCGGCTCCGGCGGCTCCGGCTCCGACTCAGTACATCCCCTACGCAATCAATTAAATACGGGTGGAAGAAAAATTGGATTGGTTATACGCGTTACTCTTTGCCATGACCGGCTCACCGCGTCCCCGCGCAAACGCACCTCGGAGAGAACTGGCAGAACAAAGGGCTAGGAAGCGATGGCATTGGAAACGCAGTCGCCGCGAATCGGAGTTCAGTGAACCATCGTAAGCTGACACCCGTCTCGGCTGCATTGGGGGGTGAGGGGTGGGGGGGGGGGGTGTGGGATGAGACGGTGCTGGGAGTCGCAGTCCACTGCACTGGTTTGAAAACAATGGCCGTCACCTGATGACTGGTCCTCATGTTCTGGGGATGCAGTAGACGTGGGGGGGGGGGGGGGGGGGGGAGAGCAAACAGGAAGTTGTTTGCGTACTGTGGGATACTGGGGATATTCGGATTTTTTCATTCACTTGATGGCCCATGACGTAAGTACCATATGTTTTACTGCCTTGTAGTTGTCAAACCGAACTAGGTCAATTATTTTTTTTTTCCTCTTCAAAAAATAAAAAGGAGCCGGAGTCGCCCCTTTTTTTGGCGGCTCCGGCTCCGGCTCCGGCTCCGGGCTATATTGTTTCACGGCTCCGGCTCCGGCTCCGGCTCCGGGCAAAATATGCCGGCTCCGGCGGCTCCGGCTCCGACTCCGGCTCCGGCTCCGCATCCCTGGTTTGCCCCCCCCCCCCAAACTCTGAGCTGGATCCGCCTCTGCAGTCACCTCCCATGCTGGACAACAGTCGCTTTCCGTATCAAAAAATTGCTGCGACTCCGGCGACAGCATGATTCAGGTGTGTCTGATGCAAGGTCCGGTCGCTGCCGCCACACTTGTTGTGCTCGTTTCAGCCACAACTCACGGCGCAGACTGGACGGTGCGAGACTGGATGATGAAACTGCGGTGGCGCGGCGCTCCGGCTCTGCCGCTCGCTTTTGTTTGGTGCTCGTTCGTGGTTCGGTGGTGGGCTCGCTAGTCACCTGGGTGCCTTTCCGCAGACTTGTCCGTTCGTTCGTTCGTTCGTTCGTTCGTTCGTTCGTTCGTTCGTTCGTTCGTTCGTTCGTTCGTTCGTTCGTTCGTTCGTTCGTTCGTTCGTTCGTTCGTTCGTTCGTTCGTTCGTTCGTTTGTTCGTTGGATTTCTCGTTATTTCGCTCGTAGGTTCGTTTTTTATGTTCGCGGTTTACGCTACCGGTGATGATCATGATTAGATTTTAGATTGATAGGTTTGTACCGCAAATTACATAAGTTTATTCGAGTGGTTTTCTTTGTTAATGCGCGATAATCATACGAGATCCTGCGACTATCTATTAAGTTTAATTACTTCTGAATGTGTTATTGCACTTGCGCTGAGTCTTGTCCATTTACAAGAACTACTACTGCCGAGGGTGCAGTAGTAGTTCAATACGCAGACGACACACAAATTCTAGTAAGCGGCAAAAAATCTCAAATTCAATCTGTCGTCACTCGTATGGAGGACACCTTGGCCTCTCTGGACCGTTGGTTCCGGGCCAACGGTTTAAAAGTCAACGCCGCTAAGACCCAGCTGATGCTGTTGGGCAGCCCCCAAAATCTTCGTACATTGCCTGAATTTAAAGTAAAGTACCGCGATCACGAGTTATCCCCAGTTATCTCAGTCAAAAACCTCGGCATCACATTTGATCGTCACCTGACCTGGGGTGATCATATCACAACGCTCACGAAACGCTGCTTTGGAGTTCTGGGTGGTCTCTCGCATCTCCGGGGGCACCTACCGCCCACTGTGATCTCCGTGCTGGTCAGCGCACTGGTCATATCCCAAATTCGATACTGCATCGCAGTATATGGTGCTTGCACCAGACACAATCTCTCTCGGATACAAAAAATATTAAACTACGCAGCCAAAGTCATTTTCGGCCGAAAAAAGTACGACCATGTTTCCGATTTGATGTGCCAGTTGCGCTGGCTCAGCGCGGAGAACCTCGTCACCTACCACTCCCTGTGCCTGTTGCACAAAGTGCGGTGTTACGCCGAGCCGAAGGTGCTGGCACACAGTCTGACCACTGTGGCGGAGGCGCGCGGCGGGAGCGCGGCTGTCAGTACCCGGCAGGACGCGCTCCTGCACGTGCCGCGATCCCGTACAGAGATGGGCAAACGCCGGTTCACCTGCCGAGCGCCGGCTGCCCTCAACTCGCTGCCACCTGATTTGACCCGACTGCCCCCTGGAGCTTTCGGACGTCACTTGCGTACCCATCTGCTCGAGGAGCAAAACACTGTCTAGCCAGCATGACTGTTTATCTGCACGTGTGTTTCCCTTTTATCATCTTTTATCGTTTTTTTTATCACCATCTGTTTTATTGACGACGGGCAGTAATAGCCACATGTGCACGTGGAATGTCCTGAATAAATTGTCTATTATTGTCTATTGTCATTTATTGAATCTGCTGCCTTCATCACTTATTCGGACGGTGCCGACTTTTTTCGTTTATTTAAACGCATCATCGTTAAAGATGTGCGACATATGTAGAATTAGCTGCAGAGTCATCCAGTTATCCAGTCATCCAGTCATGCTTGATATATTTGGAGTTGTTAGCATTGTTACTTCTCTTTTAATTGTTCAAAGTACAGTCTCATAAATGAGCGTATAGGTGCATTATTTGACTTATGAGCAATAACCGCGGCGAGCGTTGCGATGCCAAACTCTTTGACAACCGCTGGTCATGCTCGTAAAACACACGTCATTGCAACTACGAAGGAATTCGGGGTCTGTAAACCATCTGACTGAATGTCGCTTCTCATGTTTATCGTTTGAAAACAGTCATCCCGCCGCCTCATATGTCTGGCGACAAACGCTCCCCTGGCTGAATCTCCGCCTTTCGATTCATGTATAGGCTGATGGGTCCGTCCTTGGTTACCCATCAAATCCGGCAAGCGGCTCTAACTATGTGCTCCTCCAAAGGGTGAGTGGCGCGTCCCGGCTGTCGGGAGTATGCTGGACGCTCGTTTGGATTGACACCAAGGTCGCCGGGCATTTTTATACAGCATTAAGGAAAAGGTTCAGACAGCTATTCAGTATCCTGTTCTCTGGCGTTTTTCGGCAACTTAGGACAAGACAGGTGGATGTTTGATGTTCACCTTCCCAATGAGACACAGAATAGTAGGTTCGTATGTTATGGAATCCGACGTGCGCGGAGAGATTTGTGCACCT